CGGACTCACTAACAATTGTTCTCTTTAAAATAGTTCGTCGTTGGCCCAGGTCAGCGAATAAACAATAATCCAATTATGTTGGTCCAGAGGTCTTCTTCTGGACAGTTCCCACATTTATATGTATATAGATTCCGAAGATGGTCTGAAATGTTTTGATACCAGAGTTAGTGCATGAGACTCGCGAACGACCGCTGCAAGCGCGAGCGAAATCAGAAAAGAGAGTCGAAGCACGTGACCACGCTTGTATTCTATGAAATTGTACAAGTGCGCGTTCTCGTAGTTTTTTGTATTCAAACAAAAAAACGATTATGCAATTGATGAAGTAAGTAGTGTTATAATGGAAGCAAAATAAAGGTACAAATCGCCACAACTCTGATGAAATTTATTAGAAAACCACTGGTATAACTATTAAGCCTCATTCTACTTCGGCCGGATTCGGCTGAGCTAGCTTTTCCAGTTGAACAACGTATATCATCATCATCGACAGCTGTCGATGCTGTCATGCTAGCATGACATCAGTGTTCAACATCGATGCTTCACTGCCGTAGAAGAACGTACAGGTACATGTAAAACAGACCAAAATCTACGCACCACGTGAAGGATGAAATGTGTGTAACGGTAATAATATGAAAGCTCGAGCAGCCTCTGGACGAGCATCCGGTAACCTAACGGTCCGAACCCCCGACCAATCACGTGGTAGCTAAGTGTTCGGCTGGAGTTGCGCCTCACCAAGAATGATAGGTGGCTTACGGTCCGAACCCCCGACCAATCACGTGGTGTTCGGCTGGAGTTGGGCCTCACCAAGAATGACAGGTGGCTTAGGCACGGAGTGCCCCTGAACACATCATGGAAGCACCAGGGGACAATGATTATCCGGAGGTAGGGATTCACGACAAGTTCTGTGGATGGAAAGCAGAACACTAGTTCTTGAGTCGAAGCCCAGTAAACAACCTTGTACGTCATCAATGCTTGCTTATGTCAATAAAAATGACAGGCACAATGTACTACGGGCGATCATGTTACAGAAGATTTTTAGCGAAAACGGAATACCGGTGAAATGAAACGATGTTTGCAGCCTTAAAAAGCAACAAGCGCTCTTGTTTTCTTCGCTTAACGTTGACTTCATTCGAAGACCAAGGTCGTATCGACCTGGTTGCCTTATAGTCCAGGCTACCCTGTGGGATTATTTTGTAGTTTGATCAAATACCTGGAAAGGCACGTAGGTGAGAGCGAATCTGGATTTCGCCCTGACCGAGGGTGCTTTAGACATATCTTTATTTACATGTAATTATCTGTCGACACGTCCTCAAACAGCGCCACTCTTTCATACTTCCAACGACGAACGTTTCTGTTGATCAGGAGGCTGATTTTGACTGCCGATCATCAGAAGTCGTGGCAGAGTCTGGCACAAACCATATCCATTCCGAACTTCTATTATAAGAAATTCTGGCATGGCTGAACCCTAAGGCAACAGCAAGTGTAAACCGTACGGTCATAGCAACACGGAAGCCCGACCACCACAACAACGTGACAACACAGGGTCAGGCTGTGTCGGTTTTGTGGCAGAGAAAGTCAGTGCAATCAAGAGTTCGTTTTGCCGATTTGGACCACTTTTGGCACCGAAAAGACATCACTGGGCCTTAAAGAAGGCTTGCATCAGAGGGTGTATCATTGTACAGCTACGATAATTGGAGCACTTGAGACATCTTACAGTCTTTGATAGCTGGTGTCTCACGACCACAACTGGAATCGGTTGGAATCAGCTAGTTTGCAGTGTAGGTCGGGAGACGGGTCTTTGGTGAAACAAGATACTTCACTCAGAGAGTGCATCTAACACCACAAACTGAGGTGGCTGTTTTCCTGTACGCGTGCCAAGTTACCGTCTCCTGAGGATCGCGCTGCTTTTGCGCCTATTTTGGGGCAGCGGAAGCCCAAAGATATGAGGGATTGAAGCTTTATTTCTTTCTGTCTATTCTTAAGGATGGTACGAAAATTCTGGGCGCTGTTGGTGCTGCTCGGCTCCTAGGGTGGGGTCCACGTAGCTCTCTCTATCCTTGCATTGATGCACTGAAGGCAATGGCAGCTAACCAACATCAGTGTCGTTCATGCTGTCACTTTATACAACGTGGTGGGCTAACCCTAGATTACCATCGTCCGAATTTTCCCTCCATGCAACATCTTATTGAAAACAAATTGGACGGACGGTAGTGGGGCATCAGTATCCTCCTCCGGTGTTGCTGTCAGTGATGAATGATACGTTCAAGGGACTACAATTATACCAAGGTTTGTTGAGCAGGCGGGCAGTTTTTGGATCTGGAGGCTTAAGATATCCGCTTTTGGAAGACAGTTTAACCTCTGTCCTTCCCGCGACCTTTTGTGACTTGCTGAACGGTCGTGTAGCTCTGTTTCCGTCCCTTGGCTTCCTGCTCCGCCCACTATGGTATATCAAAAGGTAAGGTGGCTTCAGACAGTCCTTTATAGGGACAAAGGATAATTGTTACAGCTGTATCCAAGCCCTCGTGCTTCCTGTGGGTGGCATGACCGCTAGGCACTGAAAGGGTGTTACAGCTGGATGATTATCTTTTATTTTTTACTTTCATGTAAGTTTTCTCCTTCTCCCCATCCCACTGATAGCTCTCCCCTTGTAGGCCCAGCACTTGGGACTGATGAATCCGTTCGCCTTGCATCGTTTTTGCGTGCAACATCTGCTCGTCACATGGTGCCGACATCCTCGGGTATCTCCAAATCAATCTCCAAGCCTCGACACCAGGTCTATCTGACCCCCTTCAATGTCCGCACTCTGAAGCAAGCGGGACAACAAACTGCTCTTGCTCACACTGGACTCGCTTGACATTGATGTGTGCTGTGTCTCATTAACAAGAATTCAAGATGCAAGCACGATGGTTGAGCTAACCGCCCCATCACTCTCCACTCACTTCTGGTTGCGCAATTCTGGTGATCCGTAGGCTGCTGCGGCGGGATGTGCAGGGTTTGGTATCGTCCTGAATCACCGTGCGGAAGTATCATTGCTTGACTGCATACCCGTTGATAGCCGCCTCTGTGCGGTTCATCTGGCAACGTATGTAAAGGAGTTTCACAAGCCATAAGTTGATCGATGTCTGTTCATCGTGTCGGCTTATACCCCAAACTAACTGTAGCTCCAAAGCAATCAAGGACAGGTTTTACGGCGCCCTGAATGCCCTGCTGGAGCGAGCTAAAAGCTCACATGTCGTGGTGGTTGTCGGCGATCTGAATGCACATGTAGACAGGCTTAGTGTATCTGTGACTCAGTTAGGAAGTCGACATGGATATACTCGGTACGTACGAACAACGGGGAACGATTGCTTTAGCCGTATGCTGGTTGCAGGCTGTTTTTATGCAGTGCTTTCTTCCGAGCTTGGCAACTGAGAGACTGGAAGATTCGCGTGTTAGCCGAACACACCGGACTCGTCTTCTGAAGTCTCTCCCAAATGCTCCACCATTAGATGTGAAATCATACTGGGACGAGATTGATACATTTTTGCATAGTGCTGGGAATTTTGCCCTTGGCACAGCACCATCAGACGCACTCAAGCACTAGATATCAGAACAAACGGTTTCACTGCTTAGGTTTCGGAGAAACATCCCAGACGGCTCCGAAAATAACTTGGTGCAACGAATCATCTGACGTCAAGTTAAAGTGAGCATACGAACTGACCGTGAAGTGTGATGGAGACAGAAAGCCAAGGAAATGGAAGGAGCCCAGAAAGCCGGTAATGCCCGAAGATTATTTCAGTTGATCCATGCCACCGGTCTCCTGGAACCACCTATGAACGAAACCATCAAAGATCAGGATGTAGTGACCATCTCGAATGAAGAACACCTCGACCGGTAGGCCAAATACTTCGAACAGCGATGGTCGCGGCTACCAGCTGGCACTCATCTGGATTCCACAGGCGACGTAGAACCCTGGACAGTGAACGTGGAACCGTCTACGGCCTCGGAGGTTTATAACTGCATATGTTCTCCCAAGCGCCACCGAGCCTCTGGTCCAGATGACCTCCCACTCGCATTGTTCAAGAGTGGGATTGAAGTCCTCAGTCAGCACTCGTCGCATCTGTTTGCTTGCATTTGGGAAAAGGAATCTGTCCCAGACAACTGGGGAGAGTCGATGTTAATGCCCATTTTCAAAAAAGGGGCTCGGATGAGCGTGGCAACCACAGGAGGATCAGCTTGACCCCGGTCTTGGCGAGGCTGTTGGCGTCACTGGTGCTTACGGTGGCTCGTGAGATACTTACTCGAGTGCAGCAAGCGGGATTCCAGCCTGGTAGGGGTTGCGTTGATCAAATCTTCACAATTCGTCAGGTGTTCCTGGATTTCCAAGATGCATGTGACTCGGTTGACCGGTCTGTTCTTGACACGCTTACCCACCGAGGAATGCCCCGGAAGTTCGTGAGCATAATACGTTCTATGTACTCCAAGACTTCCGGACGTGTGAGAGTGTACAGAGAGCTCTCCAAAAGCTTCCGTACTCAAAGCGGTGTCCGTCAGGGATACCCATTCTCTCCATTCCTTTTTAACTTCGTGATCGATGAAATAATGAAATGAACACTGGAAGGTTTCCAAAACCCCAGCGTTCAAATAGCCTGTGACGGAAATCTCGTCGACCTGGAGTATGCAGACAACATCGTTCTCGTCTTTGTAGAGGAAGAGAAGGCGCAGTTGTTTTTGGATGAACTGACCAAAGTCCTTTGGTATGCACTTTTCACCCACAAAGGGTAAGGTTATGGTGCTGGACATGCAGTCACCGAACACGTTACTTACAATCCAGGAAGAGGTACTAGATGTTATGGTGCGTTTTACATATCTTGGAAGTTGTGCTAGTTCTGACCGTAGTGTGTCTGGATGTGTAGGCACAACTCGGAATGATTGTAGTAAGCCAGCACTAAGTGACTTCGCTTTTTACCCCTATTCTTTTCTTCAAAATAAGGCTTTCAAACAAATCCTGGTTGTATGGCAGCGAGGCATCGTTGTTGAACACTGATTGGCAGATCGAGATTTGTTCGTCTTCAGTTTTGCCCGAGATAACTGAAGTTCTTTCCTAACCTTCATTCAGCTCCTTACTCTTCTTCGCCATTTCCGCACCAGTTGTTCTGTATAAGGGACCTACAGACGATTAAAATAGCCTTTCTCTGCATTTTCATGTATCTGGAAATTGGATGAATTAGACGGATAACAAGCACTCGAAAAATTTCCATGCTTTGCTAATTTAGTAGCGGTATTGGACTTCCTACACGTAACGTCATTCTGGTAATCCCAGGTATCTTAGGGTATATTAGGTGTTCTCTCATACACAGTTTGTCGGGAACATATGAGATGAAATGTGGTAAGCTAACTACTGATACTTTCCACTCACAGATTCCCGGAATGTATTAAATGTCGAAGATGGGCGATGAAGCACAAGATGACGCAGGGTTACTGGATTACAAGAGCGCTTCAGAGGTATCAGAATATATGGAAAACCTTGGCCTGCGATTCGAATTTGGATGCAAGAAGGAACGTAATCCGACAAGTAAGGCAGCAGTCCTGAATTTTCATCCCCCCACTCAGGTTGTCACTCTCTGGCTCAGTGGTTTGAAACATACAAAACAGACACTAAAAGGTGTGCTGAAATTTTGCAGATGAATTGCTTCGATATGAAATATGGCGATAGTTGCTTCAAATATGGCGTTTTCAAGTTGTTCGGGAAAGAGGGGGTACCAAGGGACCCTTTGGCTGCTTACCAAGCCTTTGAATTTGGATGCAAGTCTACTGATCACGGCAAGTCCTGTCAAGTGAGTTTCCTGGAAACTTGTTTTGTATGCGGTCTTAATTCATACGAATTAAAGGTCTCCGACAAGCTTATTAACATAAGGCACACATTTGCGTGGGTTTCCTTTGTTTTGTTGATACCGCAGAGAGTGAAGACACCCTCGAATTTCTCCTCATCATTTTAAAAAAAATTACCTAGGATTGGCTCCCTACGTTGACGGTTGACGAGTTTCATGGAGCTCGGACGAGGCGCAGTGATGTCGCTAAACTTACGAATTTTGGTTTGATATGGTGTCTTTGACATTTGCTCGACCAGCTGCTACCCACAAGACGGTAGGGCCATGAATATTAACATCCCAGCCTTATGTGAAGTCTTGTGAATGCATCGTACCTCCATGGCGCTGGTATCGGTAGAATTATCTACCTGTTTAACAGCAGTACTTATGCCTGTTCTTATTGCAGACAGCGGCATTGTCCCTGTTACGATGCGTAGTCGGGAATTCAGGGAAACGGAATTATACCTTGCGGGTATGGCAAACTGTTCAACTAGATGTCCCATCTCTATTAAAAATGGTAATTGGTGTATAAGTCCACTATTAGAGACGAGTTAACATTCGGGAAAGATTCACGCATAATCTTCCAAGACCAGACAACCGCTTCGCATCTTCCACATGTCCGCTTTTATACCGACCTCGCCTGAGGCCCAAGGAATAAGTTTTTACCGATAAGTGGGAATCGTAGACATCATCCTGTTTCTCTATGCTCGAATGAAAGCGAGGTGAAATCAGCTGAGTTCCCCCCTTTTTCTTCACTCTGGTAATCCACTAAGGCCACACCTATATGTACGTTGACGTCAGCCTTTTTCACGTCCGATTGACACATTGGTAAAACAAGAATTGAATGCTTTATCGAGGGACACAGACATACAGGTTACTAAATGATATGGACTGCGCTTTTTTGCCGAAGTTTGTAGCTGTACACTGATTTTAATTTATGCGAACCTGATTGGGCTACTATGCTTAGCAAGCTGTAACTGTGAGTGATACGTATCCCTCCGATCGTCGCACTTTTCACGATGCACTAAGCCTCCGAAATCTTCAATAAGCAGGCCGTTCGCTTCCAAAAAGCACTTTTCATGAGAACCGTTTCACCTCTGTTGGTAGAAAATTTCACTCTGGTTCCGTAGGTTTCCATTGTTGTGAACACAACTGTACATAATGGTATTATTTTGCTGCTTGGGATTCGTTAGACCGCAAGGGGTCCGTTCTCCGGCATATGCTGCATTTTTTGGGTTGTGTTCAGCACAGGGCTTTCGATCACCTGTATTATTGAATAATTGAACCTAGAAATTGATTTCCTCAACCACGTAGATTATCTTGGTGGCCCGTTTACCGTGAATTTACGGTGACGGACTTTAATCGCACCACACTGTGAAAGCGGAAAGACTACTTGTTAAGCGATGTCATGCGAAACAGCCTGTTCCATGAAGGGACCACACAGTTGTCCGGCTTTCCGGCAGTCGAGCATGATCACTGTCGTTCAAGGCATGTTACAGGAAAAAATAATATTATTACCGTCTAAGAACAAAGTTATATTCGAATCATCTGAAAAAAAATTTGTTAAAAATTTGTAGCATCCTTTCGATGCCCAACTGCTATGGCACCTGGAGGAAGCACGAAAAGTGGGATACTTCCAGGTTGCCCAAGTCTAGACAGGGGAAAGCGAGATGCAAGGTCGGGCTGGCATGTTACAGGAAAAAATAATATTATTACCGTCTAAGAACAAAGTTATATTCGAATCATCTGAATAAAAATTTGTAGCATCCTTTCGATGCCCAACTGCTATGGCACCTGGAGGAAGCACGAAAAGTGGGATACTTCCAGGTTGCCCAAGTCTAGACAGGGGAAAGCGAGATGCAGAGGTCGGGCTTAAACCACGAATCTTCTAGCCAATGAATCTGTGCCATCTCGCCATCGGCGCGCGGTGACTCTTATTTTCGCCTAACCTCTTGGGTCCGCTTCATGGCTCATCAAATTGTCTAGTTTTCGGAACAGCGTGGATTTCCGATTCATTTCGTGTCAGTTTTTTTAACGCTTACAGTTGAAGAATACCATAAACGGGAGATTTAGTGGAGTCTCTCGTGAAAACCGAATCGATACGCAAATGAGTGAGTCGAAATTCTTCAACTCTCTTGGAACACGTCATTGAAAGACAACGACTCCCATCTGGTAGCAAGTTGGCGGCTTTTTCACGATCTTCCTGGTCAGTAGCGTAACCAGTTCTTGCATGAGGTTTTACCAGTTATCAGTTCATTCACTAGTCTCCATTGGCACTATCTGCGGCTTCGTACGTTTTCTATTCCTACTTTAAATCTGCACAACCATCTTCGAGGTTTAAATGTTCGAATGTCCACACTAAAAGAGTGCAGAAGTGTGTAGAATTTCCTGCCAAGTACGTTCACATCCATTCGAGGCGTGATAATAGCAGCTTGATCGGCCTAATTTCCTGGTGATCCGTTGAACAAGATAGGCAGGTCGGCATAAAATCAAGTTTCTGTTCGATTTGCCTCAATTCCAAGGTTTTCATATAAGGAATATGCTATCGTCTTTTGACAAGGCCTGTGAAAATTGAGCACCAGTATGTATCACTGATGTATTACTGTCAATAGTGTTGGTGATTTGACGAATTTTAATAGGTGTAAACTCGCAGGTTCAGCTGTTTTATTGTACCAGCGGGTCAGTAAATTTGTGTGAACAAAATCAAATTGTGAATCATTTGTACTCATATGCGGAATAATCAAATGTTTCTCGATTGTAACACGGATTTCTATGGTGTAAAAATTCGTAAGTGCCGTGCTTTTTCAGCGGGAGTATTGCCTGCATGGTTGCTTATCATAAGGGGAGCGAAAATACGAAGCCTGGAACTCAACTCGTGTCCTGCGGGCAGCAAGCCCCCAGAAGAGCAAGTCGTCCCTCAAAATCTTTTCGGCTTTCTTAATCTACCACTGATCCTTCCTCTCTCGGGAGCAGTGTTGTTTGGGGGTTGTGTCAGACATTTTTTATTGGAAGCAACTTGATAGTTGCGGGAAGGATACCGAGCAAAAGTATCACCAAGCCTCGCAGTAATCAGCGTGCAGAAAACTCATTTCGGCATTTGTAGTCACTTTGTGTTTGCTACACTAATGAAGATCGAGTCACTGAGCTCCGGTTTAGCACTGTACTTCATTCCCTTACAGCAATACGACGTTAGACGGACGGGGGATTTGCCGAATACAGCTAATGAATGATTTGACATACCCAAGTGCTTCGATTGTTTAACTAGATTGCAGTATGTTTTGCAACGTAGGCAATTTTCGAAGAAAACTGGGACCAGGGACACGAGCGAAGGCCATTCACTTCTGGCTTCTGAATTTTTCTTTATACTACTGAGTGACGATCCGGAAAGCTTTGTGAAATATAAAGTTAGAATGGGCTTGGCAACGGAATATCTAATTCTCATGCATTTCTGATGTTACCCAGGTTGTGTCCGTACAACCAAAAATGGCCGTGCAAACGCCAGAACCCGACATGACCTAATACAGGATTGTGCCACATTTTTTAGGTCATTTGGCGGATCTCAGCCTGATGATCCCCGATGAAGGCAGAGGCCTCATGTGACAAGGTGTTCCAGGATATGATAGTAATTTGTGGCAAATTTCTATCCAAGTGAAAGACGTGAGATGCCGAAGAGGCTCAGTGCTCTTCTGCTCACTGCCACCAAATAGGAAAGTTGCTGGTGTTGTCGAAGTCACCTTTTTCGTTTGTTGAGAGAATTTCAGGGATGTCACTTCACATGTTCTAGAACTCATTGATAACTATTTTGAGCTGTTGCTGTTGCGAAGTCCCCACATGCCGCTCACGTAAAATAACCGCATCCCATCAATTGAACCAAGTGATGTTTGTGTCGTGGTACTGATCCCAGCAATACCGGTAAAAGGAAGAAATCCATTCGCCGCAAAGTTGTCTATTAGAAAACACCAACTGAACAGTTACAGACTATTGGACAAGAAAGTAAAACTCTAAAATGCATTTTGTTTTTAAAAAGCCGAATATCCCTCTTCTTGAACTTCAGTGATATTCACTGACTATCATGCAATTGTAAACGAATGCTGCAGAGAAGTTCCCTTAAATTCCGTAATCAATCCAACCTTCCAATAGACCGAACTGAAATTACGTACTACTCGCATGCCCCATCAGTAGTATCCACCGTTACGCCGGTAGTTTTAGAATTTCGGAACATTCTTAGTGAGCCACATCTTAGCGTGAAAGCCCCCTAAAGGAGCGCTGGAAAGTTCTCCCCAGTGTTCTCTCTTCAGTGAGGCTACTATATATGAAGCTCTTATGTTGCTTTTGCATTTCTGTCTGCACGGAAATTGCACTCGATAACATTCCTTAACGTTGTGCTCTGTGCACAATCGTGACGGCCGCGAATCAGCTAGATGATACCCGACATTCTGATTAAGCTAGATTAAGCGAAGAACAGCGTTATGCACCTCAAGAGTTGAATTCTGAGAATACAAACTCGTAGCGGATATAAAACGGGCATACAGTTAGTACAGTAGCAACAATAGTCCGATAAGACGTGGTAGGAGCGCATCACGCGATGAGTCGGGATCGATAAAATACCGGGCCATGCAGAGGGTTACGGAATTCTGGTACGTGTTCTCGTGGGTGAAACGTGGACAGCCTGAAGGTGGATATGGCCTGTGATTAAATTGGGTTGACCGCAAGGTAATATTTTCTAGGTAAGGCTATCACAGGTATCGAAGCAATTGCTGATTGATACACCTGGAGATCCCGCTGCACTAGGAGACGTGTTTCACTGACCTATGAGGCCGGAAAATATGACAGAGGGCTCATACCCTAGACAGTTGAAATTGATGTATGTTTGCAATTAGGATTGACTAGTGTTCGTTTTGGAGGAAGGATTTGTACTCTGCAGCTCAGCACATTTGTCTTGCGATCCCTGTTAACGTATGTGATGCCACCGCCAACCCTGCTACGAAATTCAACCGGATGATTGGAACACAGCAAATTGGAATAATTGATTGCTGTGATACGAATGTTGAGAGCCGTATGAGGCGAGCTTCCTTGAACTGTCCGTTCCTCAAGTTGTGTTAGGTGTGTAAACCATCCTAACGACGGGCATAATGAATGAAAGCTGGATTCTCCCAACCTTGTTATTGATTTACTTACCCACTGAAGGGTCGGCGTTTTAGCTTTCCGTGATGTTTAAGAAACATGTCCCACCGCCCATTCGAAACACGCCATTAATGGGGTACGGCAAAGGCTACATGTTGAGGATATGACTTTGAAGCCGAGTGAATTGAGTACGAGTTATATCCACAGCGAGGCGAAAAACTTCAGAGATGGACAGAACGACCAGTTTCGAAGACTGCATCATAAAGTCCCATGGGGTGTCCTCTTGCACTTGCTATGCACACAATAGTCGAGGTTTTTTGACGTGGCCATCTGGACTTATTGAAAATTACCATCTGACATTTGGCTTATTTTACGGGCAGCCATTGTAATACGTGTCCGGTTGTATCCTATCAGATCTTTCGCCGTCGCAATTTCGTATAGTCACACCCAGCTTGTTGTGGTTTGCTTGTCTTACATGGAATTTCCCGTTTTTTTATTTGTGCAGGGTGCTGGACGTCTCATTGCTGAAGGACTCGTGAGTCACTCGCCCTCATTAACTCCTGCTATCCCGATGTTCGAAAGAGGTTGTCACTTTGGACTCGCTGAGAGCTGTTTTCACTTGGGTGGCGCATCAATCAACTTGGCTAACCAGATGGACAAAGCTGGAGAAAAATCAAAAGGTCAAGATTCCCCAAGTAGCCTGAGAAAAAAAGCTCTTGATGCGTGGTCAAAAGGCTGTGAACTTGGTCATGAACTTTGCTGTCGTAATGTAGCACGAATGTATTCCATTGGTGATGGCGTTCCCGTGAACGAATCGAAAGCTGACGAGTTCCGTCATCTGGCCGAGAAAATTGCATCAGACCGGTTACGAATGGATACTGAAATAGCTGCATCAACAAAAGCCTGACCTTTTTCAGTCGCTACCATTCAAGCACCTCCTAGATAGTCCTTTGTACAGCTCTCTACCGATAAATTTTTGTATCCAGAATGTATTCTAATTGCTACTGGATAACGGAGGGGTGGATAAACTGATATCTGTAGAAACAAGTGGAGAGACAAATGTGGTACGGAACGGATGTCTCGGTGAACTGCTGCAAAGCAATGGCCTTATGAGTTCAGACGGAAAACGGCAGATTTCCGCCACAGTTCTGGGGAGTGGGAAGAGAAAGTGTACGATTCGATCTTACAAAAATACCGAAGACTGCACGGGTTGTTCTTTTCGCTGGAGACATGTGTTTGGGTAACTTCTGTGGGGATCGACCCTTATCCGTCGTAATACAAAGTCGTGATTTTGTTGGCCTCCGACTTATGTTCGATGCTGCATCGTTGCACAAACGCGCGACCTGAAAGATAGCAAGGAGGGTGCACCCTTGCGTTGAAAAACGCAATCCACCGACAGAAAAATGCAGAATAGTTTGCGGTTAAATATGTCAACCATTTACTTTTTTACATACGATAAATCCACCTCGCACGATCGCTTATTGCTGGTCCCATCTTGTGTTTGTACCTGTGAGGCAGGTTCCCACGCTGCTGGTGGCAACAGCACCAACAAATTGTTTGTACCTGTGAGGCAGGTTCCCACGCTGGTGGCAACAGCACCAACAAATTCATTAGAGGTGGAATATTTGACCAAAGAAATCCAGATCCTGAACGGGTGCTGAGGTGAAAGTTCCCTACGTTGTCCATCCATTTGAGACGATCACTTAAATGGTCCCGTCAGAAGTCGCTGTGAAGAGCTTGTGCCGTACATATGTGAAGGTTCAAAGGGTTATGTTACTTGAATGGGGCACTGTGAACTGCAGGCACCAGTGACCTGAGTTGATCTGCTTTGTTCCGCCTCGGGAACCGCAAATTGACTTTAGACAAATTAGTGGCGGTATTTCAAGTTGACTCAAATGTCCGCCACATGCTGCGTATGCAAGTATACCGAATTCCTCGAAGGGTTTTTTCGCACAACCACGTAAAGAATAGGAACGAGCTAGAGGAGGTCAAACAATAACTTGGTAGTGAAGTATAAAAGCCATTAACAGCAAACAGCCGCGCTGGTCATTACCGTCTTCCTGGATGGGGCCCCGCGATGGACCACATCAATGGTTAGAGACACTGTCAGACATGGCCCAGTCGACCCCTCAGTGGTGTTTGTGCATCCAAGCTATTGCCTTCAATGCATAGATCCCTTCCCAACCCCCCAGTTAACATTCCACTGACAGTCCTGTCACCGATTTATCAGCTCCCAACTCCAATGCGCAGCCACCTACCCAAACCAGTGAACGAAACTGTGTCATCTACAAGCACTGTACGACAAGTGCGCGGTTCCTACAGCTGATAATAATTTCTACCACTAACTGCCCATTCTAGGATGAGAAGCTTGAAGTATCTTACTGCAGTGAATCGGCCTAATCAGTCATCTTGCGTTTGGATGTGCCTACCCGCGTCCTTCCTTTAAACAATTGGAAGAATGATCTTAATTAAAAAGTGATTTTTGTTTTCGGTTTGTTCATGTACATAAATGAAGAAACTGTGTTGAAGATCTATTAGCAACATTACTCGGTTGATTCATTCAGCCTTTAAACTGGATGATGTGTTGACTTGGCACTCCCCACTGTTTCGCGATTCTGTAACAATAAAGAAAAGGTAGACTTGGTTGCTGAAGACGCACAGCGCCAATTGAAAGAAAAACGTGCAACAGTCTTTCAACACAGAAGTTATTTCACAGATGCTGTGAGATTGTTCACTTGAGAAGATATCCGAAGGTAACGATCAAAGTGGTATCTTATGGGACATTATTACAAAAAGGCTTACAAAAGAGCCTACCGAAGGTTATCCCTGTAGAGGCGTACAACAATAGCAGAGTTAAGCAGTAATCGGCTAAGCTCACAACTGAAGCATGAGACCACCTTTGTACAGCACGTACAGTCGAAGGATACCATAGATGAGAGATTCAGCTGAACTTCGGTTGTTTGCGGTTAAAACCAAATTAGAGTGCAGCTGAGTGTACTTCGCTAACTGCACCCAATTTGGGTTCAGGTAGAACACAAAGTTGACGGGAGCTTGGAGGCCGCTACTGAGTGATGATGAGCTAAAAGAAGTGAGAAACCGATCGTGGGCCTCCGAATGACGCATCACTTATGGTACACTGTGTTTACTGAATGAGCTCCTCTGTTAGCGTAAAAAAGGAACATCCGTGCCTGCAAAAAGTCATGGATGTGGTTATGTGAAGTAGAAAGTCTATCGGGAATACCAGGGCTAACTTGTGCAGCCAGAACAACAGCCTTCAGACTGCTGTGCTTGGGAGTCTATACCCAAGGTGGCTCGGTTATGGAATCTTTATATCACTTTAGCGTCCACCGAAGAGGTTATTTTTTTCATGTCAAATACAGGCTGTCGTGGTAGTAGTAGACAAATATATTTACCTGGGCAGCTCTATCAGTCCCGGTGGTCTGGC